AAACCGGGATTCTGCTTCCACTGTCTGGATTCAGCAAAGCTCTCAATAAAGCAAGTTTTATCTGCCATATGGTTTTATATCTGCAGCTATGAAATATGTTTGTAAATAAGCATTTTGTCAAAAATCCAATAATTAATCAAGTAGATGGAACATTTCAAGCCTTTGACTTTGAAGACCCTAACGAGTGCTCACAACAACACGTGGACCCTCTGCTCTGCTGTTGCATGTGAATATGCTGAAAGACCAACCTGCTATTATAGAGCTACTCTTATCAGAACATGTATAATTAAATAAAAATGCTGTCAGTCACCAGATATTGGCCAACTTCTCTTCACGGAGTCAGACTTTTTCTTATGGACTATTTTTGTTGGTTTGTATATGTTGGTTTGTACAGCATATGCTGTCGAGAGCCCACCAGGAGCGGGTACTGCATGCCTTTGTAATTTCTAGGCTTGACTACTGCAACTCTCTCTATGCAGGGTTGTGTCAGTCAACACTGCATCGCCTACAGGTTGTGTAGAACAGCACAGCCAGGTTCCTGACTGGGACCAGGAAACGGGACCACATCAGTCCAGTTCTGGCCTCCCTGCACTGGCTTCCGATTTGCTATCGCTCACAATTCAAACTCCTCGTCTTTGTTTATCATTTCTTCCAGGATGGTGGTCCAGCGCACTCTGCGCTCCTCTGACCAAGGCCTGCTCGCTGTCCCTCGGTCTAGGTGTCGTACCCGTGGGGACCGGGCTTTCTCAGTCCTAGCACCGTAACTCTGGAACCAGTTGCCACCCTCAGTTAGGCTGTCCCCTTCTCTGCCAGTCTTTAAGAGTCGCCTAAAAACACACCTCCTCCGCTTGGCGTTTCCTGAACATGTTTGATTTTGGCCCTCTTTTATGTTGAATTTATTTCACAGTTTTCATTGGTTCACTTAATCCATCCACTCTATCCAATTGTGTTTCACACATTTGTCCTGTACCAGAATGTTTCATCTATCTTGTAATTTCTATTTTGTAATTTGAATTGCTTTTATTGTTGATTTATTCAATATATTTACATACAACTGTACCATGTTCAGCGCTTTGGGCTTCCTGACAGGGTTGCGGAAGGCGCTTTGTAAATAAAGCTTTGATTGATTGATTGATTGATTGATTGGTTTCAAGAGGATAAAGTCTCAGTGGTACTTGTGCTTGACCTGCCTGGGTACAACAGTTACACCCTTTAACAAGCCAACATTTCACTTCTGTGTTCTTATGGAAACATTTACTTGGCACTAAATCAGTTTGATGGCGAGTGAGTAATTAATCAAAGCGTAGTTTTTAATACATGAAATAAAAGTCTGAATCTAGACAGTAGCAGAAGCAAAATGATTTCTCTAATTTCCCTCTGGGATTAATAAAGTATCTTTGAATTGAATTGAATTGAATTTTGCTCTGCAGATCGGTCTAGCCGCACTCCACTGGAACATCAGCAGGCCAATCACAGCGCTCCATCAGTTGGTGGGCGGGATGTTAATAAAAAACAAAGATGGCAACAGCTTGTTTGTAACAGCTTTGGAATCGACTTTGGACTATTTAGACTCGGGCTTTTCTTTGAGTCAAGACAAGATAGAAGTACTTAAGTCATGTATTTATAAAAATGATGTATTTGCATCTGCAACAGTGTAGGGCGGTCAGACGTGCTGACTGACATTTGTAGCTGTGAGTATATGTTGTTCTTGTCCAATAGCATGTGCAGACCTTTTAAAAGACAATCGTACACTCTTTATGAGCCGTGGCCAGACTATATAGCCACACATATACAGTCGTATGGCCCACCAGGCTTTTTGTTTAATCTGTTTAGCACGTTGATTCTGCTTTGTTTGATACTGTCCTACATTTTTGGCTTTCTTGGTCACTTTTTTCTCCATATTTTTCCATACTGGGAATATCATAGCTTCACTTTTGAACAATGGAAGATGATAGAAATATACTGTCCCTCTATATTTCATGTTGATGGTTGCATTACAGCAACACACAATGTCCAGCTCCAGTGTGTTTCCTTCCAGGTGAAGTATGTTGTGTAATGGGCCATTCCCATCTGTACCAGGTCGGCCCGGGCCGGGTAGCCCCAGTCGGCCCCAGCCTGGCCCGATTGATTCCACACGTCCTTGTCTTAAGCCCATGTGGGCTGATTCTACCCACCAATCAGAGGCTTGCTCTAATGGAAGGTGTGAATTTGCTGTCAGCAGTGGGTGTGTTGGCCCTGGTCGGCCTGAAGCAGACCCCCTCAAGAAGAGGGCTGAGAATGAGCCTTGGTTGGCCCGGAAAAATACCAGGCCACCCAGATATGTAAACAACCTACGCTACCCGGCCCGGGCCGACCCGGTACAGATGGGAATGGCCCATAACAGACCTGTTTTCCTCTGGACCTTACATCTCTGTACAGCTTAATGAAACAATACCCAGAAGGATTTTTTCCTCCTGAACTTCAGCCAATACAATTAAGAAACAATGAATTCATTTGAGTTCATCTGAAACTAAACTGGCACACACTTGTAAATGTGTGAAAGTTACAAACTTTTAAATTTTTATCTGGTCTAAGTGCATCAGCAAAACTAGATTTAACCAAGAGCAAAGGCTGGGACACTTTACAATACACAACAATTTAATGTATAATGAGACAATTACAGCTTGATAGGAAAGATGGAAATGACCTAATAAGTAATGAGTTTCCCCTTCCACAAAACCTGCTAGATAATGTTCATGTAATAAGCATGCACTTTATGCAACAAGTTAAAATAACAGATATTTATATCTTAATTAGATAAAGTATTGTTTTCATCCATCCATCCATTTTCTTCAGTTTATCCAGAGTCGGGTAGCCCAGACTTCCCTCTCCCCGCCAGTTGGGCCAGCTCTTCCGGGGAAATCCCAAGGTGTTCCCTGGCCAATCAAGGGACTTACAGTCCCTCCAGCATGTCCTGGGTTTCCCCGTAGGTTTCCTCCCGGTTGGGCGTGCCCGTATAACCTCACCAGATAGGCTTCCAGGAGGCATCCTAATCAGATGCCCGACCCACCTCAACTGGCTCCTCTTAATGTGGAGGAGCAGCGGGTCTACTCCGAGCCCCACCCTGATGACCAAGCTTCTCACCCCATCTCTAAGGGAGAGCCCAGACACCTTGCAGAGAAAACTCATTTTGGCTTCATGTATCTGCGATCTCGTTCTTTCGGTCACTACCCAAAGCCTGTGACCATAGATGAGGGTAGGAACATAGATCGACCAGTGAATCAGCACCAATCCGCCGATCGATCTCACGCTCCAGCTTTCCCTCACTAGTGAGCAAAACCTTGAGATACTTAAACTTCTACACTTGGAGCAGGGCCTCTTCCCTGACCTGGAGAAGGCATTCTACCCTGTTCCAACTTAGGACCATGGTCTCGGACTTAGAGGAGCTAATTCTCATCCCAGCTGCTTCACACTCGGCTGTGAACCGCTTCCGTGAGAGCTGGAGGTCACTGTCTGATCAACACATTCTCACACTCAAAGCGTCAAAATATGGCGCATGTGACCAAGCCTCAATATATGACGATTTGGGGTGCCCCAGCGCATCAGGAGACGACGATGAGGTACACGCAGGGACACGTGGCTCCGCTGGCGTCAGTGTTTGATGCCCGCGGTCACACGGGCATTATTCGACTATTTAACCTTCCCCTCACCCCAATCCTAACCTTAAGGTCAGTAACTGTGACCTTAAGGTTAGGATTGGGGTGAGGGTAAGGTTAAGTAGTTCACAAGTCGTTCTAATGTCTGTCTCACCACCGGCGTCGGATACCGACGCTCTGGGACGGTGCGTCATCAGTGTGTCCGTGATTGTCATCTTCTGACGCGCTGGGGCAGGGGTCGGCAACCCGGGGCTCTGGAGCCAAAATAAACGGTCAAATACGGGAACTGTCCGGTCAACACAAGCCCTGCTTTTAACTGTTCTGTTTTCTTGTGAAAATTGTTGCAAAGAGATATAATTTAACTTGATTAACACCAGAGCCAGGAGCACTGCACCATTATCTCCGTCACTGTAAATGAGGGAAAAACAAAATGATCAGATCCTTTTCTGACCTTCTCCACCTACAAAGTTTAATTACAACAATCAAACTTGACAGAGCCTGGATTTGTATTCTGAACAGTCTAAACATGTTTTAAAAAGAAACGTATGACAAAAGTGGTACCTGCTCAGTAAAACCACCAACAGGGTGAAAAATATCAAAATATTGTAGGCAGAGACGGGCTACAACTTCTGGATCCATTTTATATAAATCGTTTTATTGATTATCTTTTTATGAAAGATAACTTTGATGTACACGAGCGACCGGTACCGGCTGCTGTCACCTGTTGTGAGCAGCTCTCTGCTGTCTGAGGGTAGGCCCCGTCCACAATGCCGTGACTGCTGTGGCTCCCAGTGTTTTCTTTTCTGTGGAAAACGGGTAATAATGGCTCTTTGATGGGAAAAGGTTGCCGACCCCTGCGCTGGGGCATCTCGAAACGTCATATATTGAGTCTTGGTCACACGCGTCATATTTTGACGCTTTGGGTGTGAGAATGTGTTGGTCTGATGAAGCCAACAGGACCACATCATCTGCAAAAAGAAGAGACCTGATCTTCAGGCCACTAAAATGGATCCCCTCAACACCTTGGCTGTGCCTAGAAATCCTGTCCATAACAGTGATGAACTTTCTGGTTTTCATTTACCTCTAAATTTATAGTTTCATACCAACCCCCAGAAGTGACAAAGTCTGGTTGAAAGGATACTGAGTCAGGAGAAATCTTGTTTTGGATGTTTTAGATTTGTCTACCTAGGGAATTATTGTTACAGTAGTGACTGGTGATGAAAATCTTTTAATGACATAAAAGAAGATGACAAATAATGAAGCCATGAATGTTATAGAGCCGGTCTCACACAATATTATCCATATAAAGGTCACATCTACATTCTATAATTAATAATTCTGCTATTGTGAAGATTTCGGTCCTACCTTTTTTAGCCTGAGAATCCCTTCTTGTGTTTGTGTGTCTGTGATAATCTCAAACGAGCCTTGGTCATCCCCTTCTATGATGTTGTATGTTGACTTGGCATTCTCTCCGATGTCCCGATCATTTGCTTTCACTCTGCCACCCACTTCCCCCACTGTTCGGTCCTCGGGGATCACAAATTCGTACAAGCCTGGGGGAAACAAACATAGCTCTCAGTTTATTTGTTTATTCTTTTAGATATGATAAATGAATTAACAACATTTTACAGCACTGAATCATTGTGATGCATTACAGCATTTAGCAAATTTCACTTTCCACAGAACCAGTTTAATGAAATTTACAGCCCAACATTTATTTTTCCCAATTATGACAAATGCTCCAACAAAACTGCAATCATTTAGTTCCCATTGTTTAATATTATTTGGGACCCTTGAGGCTATGGAGTGACTTACTTTTAGAGAACTTTGGTGGATTGTCATTAATGTCTGTCAGAGTGACGGTGACGGTTGTAGTTCCAGATAAGCCACCCATGTGTCCCCCCATGTCCTTAGCCTGTATGACCACCAGGTACTCCTCTCTCATCTCTCGATCCATCCCATGGAGAGCGATTTTTATGGTTGCTGCAGGTGGAAACGGTTCGTAACACAAAGATGTGATTAAAAACCTGACTGATACATACAACACATCAAGCTACATGGGATCAAGCAGCCTCAAGGGAACAGAGGTGTACAAGCACATTCATACAACAAGCACATGTTTAAATAAGAAGAAAATATTTTCTACAGATTTGTGGTTTAAAAAAAAGAAAAATGTCAGAGAATGATGAGGTAGTCCTGACTGAACCAATCCCAACCCTGAGAATCAGCTGTGTTTGTTTTCCAATGCGTTGTTCAGCCGTCTGCAGTCATTTGTATTCTGATTGAGTGTGAATTATGCTGTCTGTCATGTATAATCTTGAATATTATATGCAGAACGGACCCTATTGACTCTGCCGCAGTGCTGAATATAAAAAGGGCTCAGCACTGGCATATATGGATAATCCACTCAGGAAACAGGGGCCCGCAAGATCATCAATGAATATAAAACCCCTCATAAAAGCCAGACTTTGGCATGACACCCTGGCTTGGTCTTGAGCCCCCTCAGACAATGATAATATGCTTGGCTGTGATAGAAAACACGGGAGGGGTTAGGCTGCTTGTGTTTGCACTGTTTTTCATTCCTAGAACACAGTTTTTTCTTAGCTAGTTCAACGTCCTTTTTGTTTATTCCATCATGCAAAAGAGAGAAAAAAAGAGAAGAATAAGACAGTTTTCTATGAGGCTGCAAATGAAAAAGATGCGTTACAATGCAAACTGATAAAAATCCTGACTAGCCTGGGGAATCAAAACAACAATCAATCTTGACCAGTTGGCCCCATTTTGAAAGTTTGATGTCCGAGGAATAAATTGCTTGATTTGTTGACATTCTGCACCCTTAGGCTCACATCACTGGCATACAGGAAATGAGATGTTTTTCTTCTTTGTGGTTCTTGCCTTTAGAAACTGATGTACGTCCTTTTTTGTTTTTGTTTTTATCATTGATACCGTTGACTTATCAAGCTCTTAATTTGGTTGATAACTGACCATCTTTTACCAAGATTTGTTCTCGATCCTGAAAACACAAAAAATGTTCTGGTTCCCATTAGCAGGCTTTGCTCATGTCATTATTCTTCCTTTATTATGTTTAAAGGTAACTTTGTGGACGGTATGTATCTTTATGTTTCTGGATCTTTCCACTGGATCTCCTATACAAAGCTTTCTGAAGACTGTGTAATACCTGATCTTTTTGTTTCATTTGCATACTGCACGAGACATTTTTCTCCAATCCATTTCTGACAATAGTCAGAAATGGAAAAAGATGGGAAATCATTTGCGTCAGAAAAAGCAAGACCTTCTACGTCACAAGAAAGCAACACATCAATGTTGAATTTTAGACCCAAGAAAAAACGTTCTGAGGTTTTTCTTAAACTAAGAAAGTTAAATAGTTGAATTTCTTTCAGGCAATCAGAGGCAACACATTTGCAAATCAAGAACATTAATGAGCAAGACTCATAAACCTTTTGTTTTCCTCTGATAAATTATTCCAAAGAACTTCCACCTGTAACAGGAGCACGAGAGCTTTTTCCCACAGAAAACGACTCACAATGGATTCATACATTATAGAGACACCAGCAAATCTACTGAAAACAGGTGAACAAGACCTTTAAGGTAGTTTGTTTTCATGGCTTAATTGGTGGTATAGATGATAAGTTTCTCCGATCATTTTCTAATCACTCACTTTTGAGTTCAGAGCTGTGCTGAGCATTGAGACACCCACGTCCATATTTTGCTTGAAAGGACTCAAACCTTGTTCTGATTTTAAAGAGCACTTCAGCGCTAGCTCTCGAAAGCATCTTTCACTTTTTTTAAAACAAGCCACATAAAAATAAAAATTCCTCTGCATCATTTCAGCATAAGAATGTACAGTCTATGTATGAGTGTATGTGTCAGTAAACAAAGAAATTCATACAGGACACATTTTACAATTATATTATGGTTAATTTCTTAATTGCAGTATGAGTTATTTTACAGATCATCTGCAGGATTTTTTAAACTATATTTTAACCCTTCCTGGATGCTCCAAAACCAGATGTAAAAGTCCAAGTGATGCACATTCTATATGTCGTATCGCTGATCTCGGTTGCAGTTATGAATATTCATGTAGTACTGTATAAAGGCAGTTTCCCATCTGGGCCAGCATGGACCGGGCTGGGTAGCATTGGTTTGGATATCCACACTTCCTAGGAACGGAGCCATCTCTGAGAACATGGGCGGAGCAAGTGAAAAAGTCTGTGGCGCCTCCCTCAAACAAAGACAGCTGTGAGTGCGTGTGTGTGTGTGTGTGTGTGTGTGTGTGTGTGTGTGTGTGTGTGTGTGTGTGTGTGTGTGTGTGTGTGTGTGTGTGTGTGTGTGTGTGTGTGTGTGTGTGTGCTCCTCACAGCAGTGAGAAGAGACAGAGACCTGCCACAGCTTCAGTCAGGAGCGATGTTTACTTCTCGGCATCCAGAATGATAACGAACCACACATGTGGGTTGCCCCGTTGGTTGAATCTGTCTGCCAATTGAAGGCTCCCCCTGACGGTAAGCATGTCTTTGAGTCAGCGAATCAGTCGTAGGGGGCATGTTGGCCTGGACCAGCCTTGAGCAGACCACCAGAGGATAAGAGCTGAAAATCTGCCCAGTAAGAAAGGGAAAAGTACCATGCCAATCAGGTATGAAAACGATGTATGTAATGCGGGCCAAGCAGTACCAGACGTGAAACCCCTATAACTTTGACCTCTCAGATGGGCTGCCAGGTGGTGGAGGAGTAACAATGTGTAAGTTTATGGTGCTAAGATGGAGCAGACTCTGCCAAACTGCTGGAATGTAGACACTTTTTAATTCCTTAATGGCTGCACAACACACGCCACAACACATTCTTACCCCGGGTTTCCACAGGAGCCGTCAGCAGCACATTACTGCAGCAGCACGCTCGCGTAAACTGCTGCTTGGCCCTTCCCACGAGACGCATAGCACCAGGGGAGCAGCTGTCACCGACAGAGCACGAAGTCACACGAGTGACTTCGTCAGTAAACACAGCAACAAGCAGGAGAAAACTACAACATGGTTTGTGTTTTATGTTCTGTCCGTTTTATAATCGCCAATACGGACCTGAAAAACAAAGGAGACCACTAGCTATGTGATAACTTCTCACGGGGCCGCACAGTTAGTAACCTTTTTTAAAGTAAAGCAACCGGAAGGCAGTACGTTCTTTATTCTGAAAATCTCGGGAGCTTCTCTCCATTTCCACATTCGATTTCCTGTCTCTCCTTCCCCAAAAAATGTCGAACTTGACCCGTTTCAGAGGCGTCACGCATAGAAAATAGAACCGGCGCGTAAAGGCCGCGACATGCTGCTCCTGAGACGCGGCCGACTCGCGCTGCTGATGGCTCCAGTGGAAAGCCGGGGTTACACGCGAAGCGGCTAAAACTGACGATGGGTGACCAAGCGCTTGTTTCCAATGCGTTGGGGCTCCCAAGGGGCGCCGCGCGATACCAGAGCGTCGGTTTCCGAAGCCCGCGGGAAAACACACATTTCACTGACATTTAACCTCAAACCTCTTGCTATTTAACCTTCCCCTCACCCCCATCCTGACCTCAATTTTGTTTTTCATTCTAAACTTCTCTTGAACCATGTGTGAGACGGACAATACAACTACAAACTAGGGTTGTCACAGTGTGAAAATTTTACCTCATGGTTATTGTGACCAAAATTATCACGGTTTTTGGTATTATCGCGGTATTTTTTTAAACGTGTTAAATTTTCAGACAACTAAATAAATCCTGTATATCAGGAAAATATTGTCCTCAGTTTGTCTAAATTTTGCCTAAATTTTGTTATTTTGTAATTATGTTATTTGTTTACATTTTCCCCTTTAGTCTTTAAAATGCCAATATTATTAATGTTATAATGTAATAATACCACTTTGTCAACTGTGCTTCAGTCCTCATCCGGCTGCCTCTGGTTTGTGCCAGAAGTCTCACATAACCAAACAGCAGCACAACTTTCAAAACGTCAACTCTTTAAAACACAGTTCTCTCACTGACACTCTTGTTGTCAGTGAGACCCGTGACGTGCCAGTTGGCCGAGAACTTTTCCTTTTTTTATAGAACCGTTGAAAGCGTAACCTTCTAGCAGGTCACAGAATGCTCCTCAGAAAACAACTCCCTTGACCACAACCAATCAGGGTTCAAAAGTGGCCACTTCATGGAGACAGCTCTGTTGTTTATGACATAAGTTTTAAAGAAGGCTGGGTAGCAGCCAAGTCCTCAGTACTCATCCTGCTCTACCTATTAGCTACATTTGACACTGTGAACCATGGTCTCCTTTTGGTCATACTTTCTGGCATGGGCATCACTTGGGGAACACCCTCTGGTATTAAATCATACTTCACTGGTTCCTCATTGAACTTCTCCAACACACCACCCCACCAAAGGAACACCTCACGGCTTTGTACTGGGACTATCTATATTTGCCTTATCTGCCACCTCACTGGGCCAAGTCATCCTATCACACAGTTCTCATACCATTCCTATGATGACAGTACCCAGGCCAATCTGTCATTTCTACCTGATGACCACATCGTCTCAGAGCAAACCCCAGATTGTCTTTGAAGTATCAAGATGAAGCATTGCCGTCCACTTCCAGTTACCACTGAACCACCTGAATTCTAAACCAAACCAAACACACAACAAAATATTTGCATCCAAACTTGCTCCAAAACAGGTAACTAAAATGTGGGTTCCACGATCAATGATTTACTGACATTTAAAGAGTGTGTGGCTTTTGTCATTCATTCCTGTAGCGTTTTAATGTTTCATACAAGAATGATCTGGTCCTACCAAACCCAACATACCACCCTGCTCCTATGTCGGTCTAATTGCCATTTCCACCTTGACCTAGACCGACCTGCAAAGCCAAATCATTTTGCTTCTTCTATGGTCTGTCTAGTTTTCTAGGCTACTCGAGCACAGCAGTGCTTCTCATCTTTAATGAGCCTAAAAA